CTTTGTCTTCTGCAGGCATTGAGTCCCTGGGTCTTGGGTTTGTGGCCTTCTCCAAGCTCCTGTCACTCTTTAGGCACCATTCCGAGCCTAGCATGTTTTCCTGCCCCTCTCTTTGGGGTAGAGGATTTTCCCTCTTTTTACTTTTCAGATCACTGTAGATATCACACAGTGCCCTAAGGTGACAATCTTTGTTGCTCTTTCTCCTCTCAGGCTTTTGTTTTGTGAGGGAGATGGAAGGGTCCTGATAGTTTGTGCCTCTCCCATAGCATCTGCTGTTCTTTTCCCTTTGTTCTCTGTTAGTAGAGACTTTCTCAAGACTGCCAGTTTTTTTTTTTCTGTGAGTACTTGGTGGTATTTACAGAGCAAAAGCCTGTAAGAACTTGCAGATTTCCTATATTTGCCTTAACTCTCATTCGCCAGTACACTTTCACTCTTTACCAATTTGTCAGTCATCCTACTGTAATTCTTACCCTAGCAAGTCAGTGCTCACATTTTGTCTTTCTCTGCATGTTCCTGTCTTAGATTTTAGGCCAGTTGTTCACCCTGTGAATGGGTTCCAGAAAAGTTACGAACTTGGGTGCTCTCTCTTTCCATTATAAGGTTGGAAGTAATACTCTCTTTAGTTCTCTAATGATCCATTGTCATTATTTTGAAAAACCGCTGTCATTTCAGTTTGTTTTTCTTCTTTCCCCAATAAATGTTTAGTAGGTGGTTTTAAAATTTCCAGATGTAAAGCCTTTTTTCTTATTTTTGTTAGTAACTTCTAATTCCATAGTATTAGATTTAGAGAGTATTGTTTATAACATTGCTACTTCTTGAAGATTATGTTTCTTTGTAACCTAACATGATTGATTTTTGTGTTTGTGTCATTGGCTCTTGAGAGAATGTGTGTTCTTTATTATCAAAATGTAGATTTTAATATATATCCGTAAGATCTTCTACCTCCTTTCTTATGTTTTGTCCACTTGATCTGTCTTGTATTGAGAGTGCTATACTTAGTCTACTATTATTAGGTATTTCTGTGTCTTTTTAAATATCCTATAGTTTTCTTTCATGAAGTTGGTTGCTGTTTTATTCCATGCATGCATACTCATTTTTTTAAAAGATTTTGTTTATTTATTTGAGAGAGAAAGTGAGAGAGACCGCGTGCATGCACTAGAGCGGAGAGGGACAAAGAGAGAGGAAGAAGCAGACTCACTGCTGAGAGTGGATCCTGACTCGGGGCTCAAACCCAGGACCCTGAGATCATGACCTGAGCCAAAGTCAGACACTTAACTGACTGAGCCATGTGGGTGCCCCACGCATGCATATTCATAAGAGTAGTAACTTCATTGTGAGTTGTGGCTTTTGGCATTAAAAAGTGGTCTTTGTAAATAAAAGTGACCTTTGTTATATTTAATACTAGATGTCTACTCCTACTCTTTTTTTGTGTCCATTAGCTTGATTTTTTTTTTTTAAAGCTTTTATTTATTTATTTGACAGAGAGAGAAAGAGCACAAGCCAAGGGGGATGGCAGGCAGAGGGAGAGGGAGAAGCAGGTTCCCCACTGAGCAGAGAGCCCAGCACAAGACTCTGTCCTAGGACCCCAGGGTCATGATCTGAGCTGAAGGCAGACAGACACTTAACCCGACTGAGCACCCAGGGGCCCCCAGTAGCTTGATATATATATTTATTTATTTATAAAATATGGAACGCTTCACTAATTTGTGTGTCATCCTTGCGCAGGGGCCGTGCTAATCTTCTCTGTATCATTCCAGTTTTAGTATATGTGCTGCCGAAGCGAGCTTTGGCAAGTAGCTTGATTTTTAAATAATTTTGTATTTAGTCATTTTGTTATTTCGTTTTAAGTGAATCTCTTGTGTATAGCATATATAGAGTCTTGTTTCATGAGCCAAATTTAAAATGTTTTTTTAACAGTTATGTCCATTCATATTCACTAATGTGATAGATGTGTTTGGTCTCAGTGCTATCATAATATTTTGTAATCATGCTTTGTTGTATTTGCTATGTTTTCTATGAGTTGTATTTTCTTTCCTTTTATTTACAGTTATTTTTTCTTAAATTATTGGTATTTAAGAATGCTTATATGTTCTTGTGGTTACTTTTATACTTGAACTTTTTTAATGCTCTTAGTCTCATTTTCCTTTTTAGCTGTTTACAATGTGATTTATCGATTTTTAAGTATTATTTAAGCCTATCTTTTGCCTGTATAACAGTCAGTGTTCTTATTCTGTTTTCCTTTTTACATTTAAAAAATTACTTTATACTTTTTCAGAGCATTTAAATTTGTCCGTTAGTCTTTCTTCTTGCATCTCACATCTGTTTTAGTCGTGTATATTTATATATTCTTAAAATACTTACCATTGGTCCTTTCACCAAAGTTTTCTTAGTCATCAGTCGGTTAATAAGCTCTTGTCCTAGTAGATTTCTCAAGGGTTGATTACTGCAGAATTCCCTAAGTTCTTAAATGTTGAAAAATTTCTGGTAACCCTGATACTTGAAGCTTGGCTGCATATAAAATCTTTGGTTCATATGTTCTTTAATTTTGCATTTATTTATTTAGGAAAAGCCTTTTTTTTTTTTTTTGGTAAAGATTTTATTTATTTATTTGAGAGAGACAGAGAATGAGCAGGCAGGGAGAGGGTGGGGCAGAAGGAGAGGGAAAAGCAGACTGCCCACTGAGCAGGGAGTTCCATGTAGGGCTCCATTCCAGGACCCTGGGATCATGACCTGAGCCAAAGGCGTGGCCCAAATGACTCTGCCACCCAGGTGCCCCTAATTGTGTTTTTAAAAACCTGCTTCATTGTCTTGCTTTATATATTGGTTTGGAAACTGATACCATCTTAATCTTTGCCTTTTTAAGTTACTGATCTTTGCCTGGAGGCTGTGAGGATTTTATCTTTATATTTGAAATTTAGTAGTGTTACTAAAATATGTTTCAGACTTGGTCATTCTGAATTAATATCCTCTAGGCCTCCACTGATCTTATTATAGATTAATAATATATAATATATATATGATATATAATATATAATATATAATATATATTCATGTCTATTTTTAGAAAGCTTACTTGTAGTTTTTTAAAACTTATTTTTTAAAATTTTTATTATTTTTTTAAAGTAGGCTTTATACCGAGTATGGAGCCCAATGCAGGGCTCAGACTCATGATCCTGAAATCAAGACCCAAGCTAAGGTCAAGAATCGGATGCTCAACTGATTGAGCCACCCAGGCACCCCTCTTAGATTTTACCTTTAAGTTTTAGTTCTGTTCCCTTTTTTTTTTTTTTTTTTTTTTTTTCAGGAACTTGACAATATGAATATGACTACTTTGTCTCTCTTCCACTTTAAGTACTTTATTTCTGATCCTTTTTCTTTTTTCGTTATGTTATTTTCATTCTTATGGTTGTTTTCCTGCCTTTCTTCAATTCCCCTCATGAAATTTTGGTTGGCATCTATTTTCCCATGGGTACCTTGTGACTTATCCTTTATTTCTGAGAATATCTTATTTTTTTCCTTTTTCCTGGGTACTATCAGCTTTTTTTCCTTTCTTCTGCCTTTTTGGTTATTTTTCATGGTTTTAAAATTTTCTGATTGAAGATGGTTTTTCTTCAAATGTTTATTTAAATGTATTGTTTGGAGTATTAATTTACAGCTTTTCTCTGTTTCATGGTAGTTTTTTGGAAGGGAATTTTCCTCAGTAGATACATATGAAATTTCATTTCCCGATTTTTTTTTTTTTGGAATAGCTCATATATATTGGTTGGTTTGTGTGTTTTTATGTTCATTTTTATGGTGATGATATGAATAACAATATTTTTATTTAAATGGCGCCCTCTTCTGTCAATTTAGCAAAGCTCAGATACTTAAGACAGTTTTTTGGTTGATTTGTTTTGGTGTTTGGGGGGAGTTGAAGAGTGATAAAAAGTAATGGGAGCGTTGACTTTATGATTCTCTTTTGTAAGACACTAGACTTTCCCATTTTGCTTCTTTTCCCCTTTACCACTTGACTATCAAAGGGAGCCTTTCACTTTGTTTTTGCTTTTTTTTTCTTTGCAGTAGCTGTGTGTTTTTTAGACTGCCCCTTTAAGTCATTCCTCCCCCTTTAAATTATGCCTTTATAAATCCCTTTCCTGTAATCTTTGCTATGATCTGTTTATACCTTTTTATTTTTTTATGTATTTTTATTACATTTTTTTAAATTATAAGATTTTAAAATTTATTTATTTGAGAGAGAGAGAGCAGAGCAAGCAAGAACATGAGTTAGGGGGAGCGGCAGGGAGAAGGAGAAGCAGACTACCTGCTGAGCAGGAAGCCAGACACGGGACTTTGTCCCAGGACCCTGGGATCATGACCTGAGCCACTTCACCAGCTGAGCCACCCACGATCCCCTTTTTATACCTTTTTAATGTTTTCAGACAGGCAGAACTTAAGCTCTTAGGCAGTAGTTGAATCTACTTCTCTAGCTGTAGTTGTAATCTTCTCTTAGGCAGTAGTTGAATCTACTTTTCTAGCTTCCCTCTGGAGGCCTGTCTTCTGAGGTAGGGATGGGACGAGGAACATGAGAGACCATATACTGGGAATTGGTAATTTTCCTCTTTTTATTAAAAAGGAAAAAGGAACATGATCAACAAAAGGAACATGTTCCTCACACTTACTTTGAAATTTCAATATTCTCTTTCTGCAAGTCATGTTGAAGGCATGATTTTTGTTTAGCTTTATTTGCACTTTGTTGTTTAGTATTGTTTTGGATGATGTAATAGTCTGGATCCAATCAAGATGTAGAAAACCACACAGTAGGTTAAAAACAAGTGAATTTTAATATAATGAATTATTAACTATGATAAAGGAATAAGTATAAGATATGAGAAAACTCTATATTGTACTTTAGGGTTAAGAGAGAGTACCTAAAGAAGGACAAACTTAGAAGGGATTCAAACATTTTTGGAGAAGTAGTTCAGCCCACTGAACAGGAGAGAAGTTCACTCTTTGGCCAGACCTGAACTGGTTTGTAGTCATTGGGTAAGTACGCTCTGGTGGAAGATGGGGGAGCAAACCAGCCATCAGTAGTGTGGGTATGCAGCGGGCTTGCATGGAGTTGTGAATTCTCTGATCACAGGTAGGACTGGGGACTTGAAGTAGCAGCAGTGTGGTTCCAACCCTCTGGCCGCAGGTAGCCATGCACAGGGACTTGGAGGGGAGGTCAGTGGGCAGAAAACCTCTGGGCAGTTTTCCAGTTGTGAAGGCTGTGGAAAGATTATCTGTAAGCCAAGACTGCATGGTTATAGACAGAACCATGTTCTGGGCTCATGACTGGGGTAGAACTCCATTGGGTGTCCTCACTTCCCACCCATGTTGCCAACACCTGTGCTGCAGCTGGAAGCTACAGGAAAGAGACTTTTTTCTTGGCAGTGTTCTGTAGTCTGTACTGACAAGACGCTGTGCTCATTTTAAAAGAGATGTCAAGGGGGGCGCCTGGGTGGCTCAGTGGGTTAGAGCCTCTGCCTTCGGCTCAGGTCATGATCTCAGAGTCCTGGGATCAAGCCCCACATCGGGCTCTCTGCTTGGCAGGGAGACTGCTTCCTCCGTGCCCCCCCCCCCACCTGCCTCTCTGCCTACTTGTGATCTGTCTCTGTCAAAGAAATAAATAAAATCTAAAAAAAAAAAAAAAAGATGTCAAGGAATTTTTTTTTTTTAAATCACCAAACCTAGTTAAAGTATATGTTCAGATCTAAGAGTCAGATAAATGACACAGATGGAAATATTGGATGACAGATAGTTGGGCAGCCTCTGTTGATTTCAGTTACCTGGAAGTCCCACCAAATTTTATATATCTCTACCCTTTTTATTATTAAGCTCTTTTTTTTTTTATTTCACAGATCACAAGTAGGCAGAGAGGCAGGCAGAGAGAGAGAGGAGGAAGCAGGCTCCCTGCTGAGCAGAGAGCCCGATGTGGGGCTCGATCCCAAGACCCTGGGATCATGACCTGAGCAGAAGGCAGAGGCTTTAACCCACGGAGCCACCCAGGCGCCCCTATTATTAAGCTCTTTATTTGGAATGCCATCCTTTGGTGCTTCAGATCTTTATTTCCTCCCAGCATGTCAAAAATTTATCCTGTCTCAGGCACCCTTTGTTATAATCTTGACTTTAGCTTTTCCATTACTAATCACTGCCACCTCTTTTATACTCTTAATTTCAGGTATCCCTCATTCCTATCCCTATCTCATCCCCTTTATTTTTATTTTATTTTATTTTATTTTTTTAAAAGATTTATTTATTTGACAGACAGAGATCATAAGTAGGCAGAGAGGCAGGCAGAGAGAGATGGGGAAGCAGGCTCCTTGCTGAGCAGAGAGCCGGGGGCTTGATCCCAGGACTCTGGGATCATGACCTGAGCCGAAGGCAGCAACTTTAACCCACTGAGCCACCCAGGTACCCCCCACCCCATCTCATCCCCTTTAATAACTTGACTTAGAAAATCCTTTACACACACTAGGATCTATTAATTCATGGGTCCTGTCACCTTTACACTGTCTTTTAGATCCTGTGTATCTGCTTTCCTGAATTCTTTTTCTTTTCTTTTCTTTTTTCTTTTGGGTCCCATCGTTATATTGATACTGCAGGGCCAAAACTTGAAGTCCAGGTCTTCTGACTCTAGATTCATATTCCCATATACTAGAGATGGCAAATAGTTTTAAGTTATAAGCCAGCTCTGTTCAATTTTTTTCACTGTGTGCAAAGACAGTTGATAATGTCTGCCTCAAAAAGTGTATTATGGTTTATGGGATCATGTCCAGATTTAGCAGGAAGAAGTGATATAATTGCTTCTGAATAGCTGCAGTGGACATATATGTCTCATTGTAACTACATTTATTTCAATGTGTCTTAAATATCAGTTGTGATCACTAGTATGTTTAAGTAGCAAATTTAGATTTTGGTTTTAGACAAAGATAACTGGCATTGGTAACATCTCTCTTCCTTCTACTTGCCTTGTTCTATAAAGCTAATATATAATTCCAAAATAATTACACCTCCCTCACTTACTAATTCAAATGAGAAGCCAGCCATGTAAAGATCTGGGGTAAAAACACTGTAGAAACGAAAGAACAAATGCAAAGGCCCTGAGGTGAGGGCTAACGTGTTTGAGGAAGAGATAGAAGTCTGATGTGGCCAGAATGCAGTGAGCAAAGGAGAGAGAATGTTAAAAGTCAGAACAGTAGATAGGGACTTGATTTTATAGGAACCTGTGGGTGAATATTTTGGGTGTATCAATAATATTTCAATTTGATAACTCATAATCCAAAAATGATTTTCTCATTAATGCATGAAACATTTAAGTACATGCTTAAGAATGATACAAAATTATATTGGTTTGGGTTCCAAAGTTGTGTTCTCTTAACAACGGACCTCAAATGACAAGCCACGTAATACATCAAGGAAGAAACAATGGAAAAGCTCCTACTGTTCTGAAGTAATCATGACCCACACTGTCAGTTCTTTTAGTGTCTGTCTCTGGTCATTCAGACTGCATTGATTAGAAGCTCAAAATCTAGAGTTTTACATTAGAATGGAAGTAGTGGTTCTGGCAGTCAATGTGAAAGAGTTACAAGTACTCTGAATGAGTATAATGAGATTCAGTGCAGTTAGTGTATCTGGACCCAGTATTCCTATTTAGGGTGACAAGACTTGATATACTTACACAAAGTATAACAGGATCTTTTGGTCAGTAAATAAAATGAAGTCCAGAATTCCAAATAAGTTAGAAAGTATAATGAGGCCTTTGCAATCCTAGGCAGTCATGAAATGTAACAGAGTCCAGATCTCTAACTTAGTCTGGAAATGTAATGATCCAGCATTCCTAGTTAGTCAGGAAGTGTAATAGTCCAGCACTTAGCCAGATATTGCTTAGCAACTGGTATGAAGGTTTGATGGAAGAAAGGAAACAAACTAATGGTTAAAATGGAGTTTTGGAATCATTAATTTACTCAAACTATACTTTTGCTTGATCTCCTTAAAATTCTGTGTTTCGTAGCTGGATTTTTCTTTTGACCTTAATAATTTTTCTTTAAAAATCTTTTACTATCTGACTTTCTATACTCTCCAAGTATTTCTGTCTCTTATCATACTAATTGACTGATTGAAAATATTGCTTTATTTTCTCCTTTGTTCTTTTTTTTTGAAGACCTATAGTTCTTATCTTCCTTTTTACTAAAACCTTAAAGACAGAGAAACAAATGAAACCTTAAAGAGAAAGAAACAAATGAACAGGCTTGGTTTAGCCTGTTTCTGCTGATTAATTTGATTTAAAAATGTAATTATACTTTAATTCACAAACAGTACACTGATATTATTGATAAAATTTAAAACTACAAAAGCAACAAGGGAGAAAGTCACTTACAATCTTACACTACGACTTTTGTTTGATATTTTGGTCTATTTCCTGGTAGTCCTTTTCTCCCATTTCTCCTATGCTAATGTATAAGCATGTGTGCTTCTTTATAACTTTTTCTTAAGCTATTTTGCATCGTAAGTATCTTCACTTTTTTGAAATCTATGGATGAAAGAAAAACACATAAAAGTTTTAACTTTAGACAAAATTTTACATGTATTTTTGGGGGTATTCAGGAATCAGTCTGTCATCACAGGTCTTTGCTTTTTTTTTTTTTTTTTTTAAAGATTTTATTTATTTATCTATTTGAGAGACCGCGAAAGAGTGCCTGTGTGTGAGTGGGGGCAGGGATGGAATAGAGGGAGAGGGACAAGGAGATTCCCACTAAGTGCAGAGCCTGATGTGGGGGGTTTAATCTCAGGACCCTAAGATCATGATCTGAGCCAAAAGCAAAAGTCACACTCTTTTTTTAAAAAATAAATTAATTAATTAATTAATTTGACAGAGATCACAGGTAGGCAGAGGCAGGCAGGGAGAAGAAGTGAAGCAGGCTCCCTGCTGAGCAGAGAGCCCAATGTGGGGCTCGATCCCAGGACTCTGGGATCATGACCTGAGCTGAAGGCAGAGGCTTTAATCCACTGAGCCACCCAGGTGCCCCCAAAAGTCACACTCTTAACCAACTGAGCCACCTAGGTGCCCCAGGTCTTTGTCATGTATTATCATGTGTTATTGCTGAGTTTTGTTCTTTTAGATTTGCAGTGTGGCCATTGCTGCCCCGGATCTTTGGGCTATGCTAATGCTGTAATTCAAATGTAAGGTTACAGTTACCACTACAGTGAGCTATTTTTGTCATAGTATGACACCTATGCACCAAGTGACTGGGTCTGGAGGGATTTCCAGTTTCAGTAGTATGTAGTATCAATACTAGTCTTATCTCAATAACCCATGTTACAATTTTTTACTGACTGAGTAGTATTCCAGTATAGGATGCATCACAATTAATCCTCTATTGATACACGTTTAGGTCTTTTTTTTTTTTTTAAGATTTTATTTATTTGAGAGGGAGAAGGAGAGAGAGACAGAGAGAGGGCGAGCGCACAAGTAGGGAGGAGAGGGAGAAGCAGGTTCCCTGTGAGCAGGGAGCTGAACATGGGGCTCAGTCTGAGGACCCTGAGATTGTGACCTGAACCGAAGGCAGATTCTTAACTGACTGAACCACCTAGGGACCCCTAGTTAGGTCTTTCTTAAATTTTCTGTTACAAACAAAATAGTGGTGCAGTAAATACTCTTATGTTTACTGTTTGACAACTTCCTTGCAATATATTCCTAGACATAAAAATTGCTCAGTCAAATTTGATATGAATTGCCTGGTTGCACTTGAGAAATGTACCAATTTATAGATAACAAAATTTATCTTTGCTAACAGTAGGCATTATGGAATATTTTTATTAGTTATAATTTTTATAAAGTGAAATGCATAGATCTTAAATATACAATTAGAGGAGGGGTGCCTGGGTTGGCACAGTTGGATAAGCCAACAAGTAAACTCTCTTGGTTCTGGCTCAGTCTCTAAATAAATAAATCTTTAACAAGTGTATGCTGTTAGATGAATTTTGACAATTCTACATACCTA